TACTGTGAACATTCTTCTGCTTAATGTACAACTACATTTTGGAGGGTATAAATCTAGGAGTGACATTGCTGAGACACGCAGATATATATATATATATATATATATATATATATATATATATATATATATAGCTTTAGAAGATATTTCTAAACAATTTACCAGAATAACTGTACTGATTTATATCCCACCCACTTTGTAAGAGAGTTCCAGTTTCTTCACAAGTCTATTAACACTGGTATTTTCCATTTTAAAAAAAATTTAGCCATCTAGTGGGTGTGTGTTGGTATCGAATTATGGTTTCAATTTTCACTTCCCAGATGATTAATGAAGTTGGAAAATTTTTCTTATGTGCATTGGTCATTTATTTCTGAAGTCTGTTCCAGTCTATTTCCCATTTTTGTACTGAGAAGTCTGTCTTTTTCTTCTTGGTTTGCAAGACATCCTAACTACAAGGTTTTGGTCAGATATGTATGCAAATATCTTCCTCCACTTCATGAGGTACATTTTTACTCTCATGATTAAATTTTTTAATATAATAGAATTAATCATTATTTTATGGCCAGGATGTTTTGAGTTTCATTCATGAAATGATTTCCTACCCCAAGAGCAGAAGTATTCTATTTTCCTCAAAAAAGTTTTACTGCTTTCATTGTACATTTACATCTGCAATCTGTCTGAAATTTTTTTTTGTTTATAGTGTGAGGTATATAGATTAAGATCATTTTTCCTGTCTACTCATGGTTCCCAGACTCACCGGGTCACCCTTGAGTGTCACAATGTGCTTACAAGGATGGCAGGGGATATTTTACCTTTTTAGGGAAATTCTGTGACATCTGTTGGATACCACTAAACCATTAATTTGAAATAGTTCACAGTTTCAACACTGAATCATACTACATTCCCTCCAATGACATCATATTTTTACAATGTGGATTTTTTTTAGGTTGTTGTGATTAAAAAGTAAATACCATATAAAATCAGGAAATGAGAATTAAGAGGTTCAGCCTAATTCTGAGCCCTGAGTATCCAAAAGGAGCACAAATTGATTAGTAAATATTGCTGCCTAAAAATAAAATAAAATACTATTTTTTCTTTTGATTTACATACATATTTTTGAGTAATTTATATAAATATTAATTAAGGCTTTTTAACTAACTATTCAATAAACAGAACCGTTAGGTACTTATTTTGACCCAAGGTTGCCATGAATGGTGACATGTATGGAGAGAGTTTGGGAACCTGGCCGAGGCAGACAGACTCCATGTTTCCCATCCTGGTGTTTATGTTTTTCTGATCCCCCTCCTCTTGAGTACAGGTGGGACATCTGGCTTCTCCTAACCAACAGAATACACCACAGGTGACAGGATGTATGAGACTGTGAGCACTTGGTTATGTTACATACGATAGATAACAGCCAAGTTTGCAGAAGATTCTTCCTTGATGGTTTTGAAGACCTGCTGCCATGTTGTGGGTCACTCCATGGAGATGTGCCACATGGCAAGAGCAGTCTGTGACCCACAGCCAGCAAAAACCTGAGGCCCTGCATGTGGCATCATGTGAAGAACTGAATTGTGCCAATAACCGCATGAGTTAGAAAGCTGATCCTTCCCTAGTTGAGCCTCAGATGAGACTGCAGCCCTTGCCTACATGTACTACAACTTTGTGAGACCCTGAAGCAGAGCACTTAGTTAAGTATTCCTGACTTCTGTCTATAGAAAATGTAAGATTGTGTTAAGGAAAAAGGTTGTGGTAATATTTTTAAATAGCAATTGAATACAATACTAATGCACTTGTAATATAAAAATCTCAGCATCATTTAGTGACAAGACCAATTCTTACAGTGTCACACCATTTTTATAATAGTGAATACTGGGAACCATCTAAATTTCCAGTAGATGGAGGAAAGATGGCCTCTTTAATAAATGGTGCTGGAAAAATTGGGTTTCAACTTGCCAAAAATTAAAACTAGTCCGATATCTCTCACCATGCACTAAACTAAAATTGAAATGGATTAAAGATCTAAATATTAAAACAGAAACACTAAACCAGCTGGAAGAAAGGTTAGGCAGAACTCTTGAAGACATTGGCATAGGAAAAGATTTCATGAACAAAACCTCAGTTGCACATGAATTAGCACAAAGAATCAACAAGTGGGATCTCTTCTTACTAAAAAGCTTCTGCACAGCAAGAGAAACCACCAACAGCGTGAAGAGACAACCCACAATGTGGGAAAAAGTTTTACTAGCTGTTCCTCAGCCAAAGGTCTACTATCTAGAATATATAAAGAATTTTTAAAAATCAGACCTCCCATATTTAAATACCTAATCCAAAAATGGGCATCTGAAATGAACAGACATTTCTCAGATGAAGTAGAATTAGCAAATAAACATGAAAAAATGTTCAGCATCACTGGTTATTCAGGCGATGCAAATGAAAACAATGCTGAGATTCCACCTCACCCCAGAAAGAATGGCTGCTATCATGAAATCAACCAATAACAAATGCTGGCGGGGCTGTGGGGAAAGAGGAACCCTGCTCCACTGCTGGTGGGAGTGTAGACTGGTGCAACCACTGTGGAAATCAGTATGGAGATACCTCAAAGAACTAGGATTACAGGTTGCATTTAATCCAGCTATTCCCCTGCTGGGGATCTTCCCCAAAGAATTAAATGAATCATACCACAATGATATATGTGCATTCATGTTCATAGTGGCACAGTTTGTAATAGCTAAAACTTGGAAACAGCCCAATTGCCCATCAACTGGAGACTGGATAAAGAAAATGTGGGGTTTTAAAAAAATAAAATGGAGTACTACTCAGCCATAAAATATGAAAAATTAGAGACATTTATAGCTAAATGGATGCATATTGAGGCAATCTTCTTAAGTGAAATAAATAGGACAGGCATATGTAAATACAGTTGTCAAATAGTTCCTCTTGTGTGAGAAACTGAAAGTGTAAATAAGGATCAAAATATATAATAGATAATGTAAAATAGGAAGAAAAGGTCTAAAGGGGGGGGGACTGGAAGGGGTTGGGGAAAGGAAAGAAGGAAATGGAATTAATATGAAAAAAGGAAAAAATGGAAACAAAGTCTTTGTAAATAGGAAGGGGTGGAGTGGTTGCAGGGAGGGCAGGGGAATGGGGAAAAAATAAGAACCAAGATGTATTATGTAAAGGTACAAATTTCCAACGATGAGTGTCATTATATTGTAAACCTAAAATGTACCAATAAAATTAATAAAAATAAATAAATAAATTTCCAGTAGAATTTTCACAACTAGATCACAATACATCTTATTCATATGACAGAATGATAGATGACCAATAAAAATCATGTAGAAAATATCTAATAACATGGGAAATTTTTCATTGTAGATTAAGTAAAAAGTGAGTTATAAAATAATTTCAACCATATTCTAATTATATAAAATGTGAGTATTATATCTGCATTGTATAAAGACAGCTAAAATACTTTGGGTAGGAGTATGTGTCTAACAATTTTTTGTGTGTATTTTTGAGTTTTTTCTAGAGAAAGCTTTTCAATAAATTTCCTTCAAAGAGAGCATATTCCCCTAAATCAAATGGCCCAATTAAAAAAATGGGCAAATGAACTGAATAGACATTTCTCAAAAGGAAGTACAAGAATAATGTTCACTATCTTTAGCCATTAGGAAAATGTAAATTAACTCTGAGATTTTTATCTGGTCCCGGTCTGAAAGGCTATCATCTGGAACACCAAAAGCAATCAGTGATCAATGCTGGTGAATCCACTCTATGGTTGGTGGGAATGTAAACTAGTACAACTACTATGGCCATAAGTCCTCCCTGTGAGCCCTGCTTGCTGTCACTATCACGTGGTGAGGGGCTGGAAAGGCAAAGGATTTTCCCAAAGGAAGGGCAATATGCCTGGAAGAAAAAGGGAAATTAGAATGGCGACAGTAGGAGGCCAAGCAAGAATTGGTTTTGCTCACAGAGGAAGTGCAACACAGCTTGAGCATTGAAAGGTGAGGAGGTCAGGCAGATGGGATCAGGAGGGCACATGAGGAGGAGAGAGGAAGTGATAGAAGCAATGGAGCCAGAGATACAGACCAAGACCACATCAGGAAGTGGCTTCTATGTCAGATAAAGGTGTTAAGCAACCAGTGTTGTTGACCATATGGGGCAATGGGGGGTTCCAAAAGGAATGAAGAAGAGAATGAGCATGTGTGATTACTCACACTTCCCCAGCAAACTATAATACCTAACCAGCAATAATAATAATAATATTTGCTTTATCCTACACTAGTCTTCAGGACTCTCCAGGAACTGTGAGAATCTTTGATAATAACCTCTGCTAAACCAGTGTGTTTCAAATGTTTTTGATTGTGATCTTCAATGAGAAATACATTTTATATTACATTGATCTGAATTTTAGTGAATTATCTTTAAGAAATCCAAACCACTACCCTAGAATACCAACTCCATCATGGCAGTGACCATGACTGTATGAGCTGATTATCATCATGGCTTTGATGTCTGGAACAATGTTAGTCCCATTCTGGGCCCACAATAATGCTATTAAGGGCATATTTACTGGATGGATGGATGGATGCAGGTATCAATAAATGATTCAAAATTCTTATAAACTTCAGAGGTATACAGATGCAAGTAATTTCTGCTAGTATCTAATTCTGACCCACATTTATTAGACACATTATGCATTGCCAGAGCAGGTAGTGGGAGGTGACACAGAGAGCAGAGGAGGGATAGAACTGGGATTTAATGCTGACAGTGGATAGTGCCCCAGGCACATCATTTGAGTCATTCATGCTGCTTCCTGGGGGCCGAGGCCTCCTCCACAACTCCACATCCTCCTTTACAGACTGTATGTAATTTCAATGCCATATAGAAACCACAATTTAGAGAATAGAAAGCAGAGAGTTTTATTTGATGACCCCAAAAATGGCATGTCAAAGAGAGTGCAACAAATGTACAATATATAAGGCAGTCTTTTTCTCTAGATGGAACCATGGGTTTAAAACAAGAAATAGTGAAAGGCACAGGCACACAGAGAATAAAAAACTGCTGCTGCAGATACCTGTGCACTTGATTTAGGGAGAGTCTCCAAGGACCTCTAAGCCCATTAATTCCTTCCCACCTCTTGAAGCTTATTGATCAGTATCAATACTCTGGCCCATTCCGTTGTTTCTTAATGTGGAACTCTAGGTCCTCTTTAGAACAAGATTTTAACTCTGTTGAATGAAAAAGCCGCATATCACTGGAACTGGAAATTTCCTCACAATCAGCTGTAACTATTAAACTGTTGGTGCCATCCAGAAATAACCATATTTAATGATGATTTTGTCCATTACAGAGGTTCTGGTCCTTTGAAAAGACAGAAAAATCATTATTTCTTCAGACAAGCTCTTCTTCAAATAGCATCTTAATCCTTAAGCCTTCCAGGTTTACTGACACTGGGAGGGAGCCATTCCTAAGTTAATATTGCTAAGCGTTAGGCACACTGCTGCTTTTTTAGGGGGTTCCGTGGTTTGCTTTTTACTTAGAGAACTTCAGTAGTAGAGAATGCATAGGAAAGGCTTTGCTATTGATACTGATCAGGCAGACTCTGAGTTGGATTCCAGTCTCTCATCTGTGCCTTTTTTCTTTTGAGACAGGGTCTCCCTGTGCAGTTCAGGTGGGCCTTGAACTCACGGCAATCCTCCTGCCTCAGCCTCCTGAGTGCTGATATTACAAGCACCACCATACCCACCTTCACTGTGCCTTTTGAATAATCACTTTGGTCAAATTCCAGAAAACACATCCCTGGGGTTTCAAATTCCTCAGCAGTAAAATTTCAAAGATTCTCTGAGGATTAGGAAAGAATTTAGTTCTTGCACTTGGTACATCAAAATGTTCTATGAGTAGTATTCATGGTGATGATGGTGATGATTGTATTGACAATTCTTATCATTTTATTCTAATGCAATATGAATAAATATAAGATCAGGTTTATAGTCACAATCCAGTTGGGAAGATGATTGGGATTCTCAACCAGTGTCATGCAGTATTTGAGAATGATTTGCACATTCCCATTTTCTTACCCTAAAACAAGCTGTTCCATCCATTAGAAAAGGCCTCTCATGCTATATTCACCTTTCCAAATGTAGCCAGACTTCACATCAAGGGTTATTAATCTATGAAGTTCTCCCTGGGGGGTTCTAGTTCTAAGCAAGCTGTCCTACCATCCTGAGCTGTACTTCATTTTTCATTTGTGAGATTCCCCCTGTAGCTTTTCAATAAGCACTGCTTTTTGTTTGAATGAGTTTATGCTCTTTGTAACCAAGAGTTTTGATTCATCAGGTACCAGTGAATGTGACTTTAGGCATAGCCTGTGTGTCATGGTGTTGGAAACACAAGGAGGATAGAAGCAAGCAAGCAGAGGGCATCAGGACCAGCTGATGACTGAAGCACAGTCAGGACCAGTGGGATCTCTACAGGAGAAAAGACAGAAAAGACTAGACATACGACTAATATTAAGATGAACTGAGATAAATTTTTATCCCACTAAATGAAACCACACTTCCTTTGGTCCTTAGAGTGTATGGCCCAGCACTGTCTGGTCCTGGGAGAGAATGCAAAGAGGCACAAAACGTGCCTCCCAGGAAAGTACAGGTCCATCTACCTCTGTTGAATACAGTTTAACAGTAAGGACAACTACTTGGCAATTTTCTCTCTCTGGGTGTTCATAGCCTGAGATGGAAGAATATGAGACCATACCAATTAATGTACTTCAAAGTATCTTGTGAAAGGAAACTAGCCTTGTAAATATAATTGATGTTAGAATTCAGACCACACTTGTAAGAGTCCACAGTTAGAGAGGACCAACTATGCCAAGCGCAGTGGAAACACTTTGACATATATTTATTATTTGAAGGAAAAAAATCCTGGAATTAGGTGCTATTTTCCCATTTTTCAGAAAAAGAAATGGAGCCTCAGAGATGCTAAGTCCCTGTCAAAGGTCATGAAGCTAGTGAGTAGTAGAACCAAAACTAAACACACACTGTGGTGAGCTGGTATTTAACAGAAATGTCAAGATAAGTCAATGGGAAAAGCATGACCTTCCAATAAGTATTACTGAAATAACTGGATATTCACATAAAAAAGGGATCTTGATTTTTGTCTCACATCACACTCAAAGTTAACTTGAAATAAATAATAGAGACAAAGTACAAGCTAAAACAACAAAACTTCTAAAAGAAATCATAGATGAAAATGTTCCAATCTTGAGACAGGCAAAGATTTCATGAGCAAGATATAAAAGGATAAAGTATAAGAGAAAAATTGATATCAGACTTCATCAAAATAAAAATAATTTCTGGGGCCGGGGATTTAGCCCAGTGGCACCGCACCTGCCTCACAAGCTCAAGGTCCTGGGTTCGATCCCTGGTACCAAAAAAAAAAAAAAAATTTCTGTGCTTTGAAAGATACTACTGAGAAAACACATGCTAGAGTCAAAGAAAATATCTGCAATGCAAATATCAGATAAAAGACTTATACTAAGAACATATAAAGAATTCTTTAATTCAATGAAAACAAAGTAACTCAATTAAAAAAAATAGGTCAAAAATTTGAACTGACCTCTCAAAAAAGGTGGTATAAGTATGGCCAGCAAGTATGTGAAAAGATGTTCTAGCCATCATGAAAATGCAAATTTAAACCACTGTGGAAACCACTTTATACCACTTACAAGAATAACATTCCACTTTGGAGAGCAGTTTGGCAGTTTATTATCACTTTCCCTAAGACCCAGCAATTCAACTCCGAGACCTTTACTCAAGACAAATGAATACCTGTGCTCCCCTAAAAGATTTGTGTGTGAATGCACATAGCAGCTATATTCACAGTAATCGTAAACTGGCAGTAATTCAGATGGCTAGACAGACTATGGCACGTCCACAACACAGTGTATTATTCAACAATTAACATTTGCAGCATTGATGACTCCTTCCTGTATGCTTTATGAGTGAAGAAAGCCAGAAACAAAACACTACATACTGCATGATTCAAATTATAAGAACTTCCAAAAAAGGCAAAGGTAAGCTGTAGCATCAGAAAGTAGATCAGCAGTTGCCTGAGACTGAAGTCGGCTGGAAAGAACTAGCTGGAAGGGACAGGAAGGACTTTTCTGAGATAATAAAAAAAGTTTTAATCTTTACTGTGATACACAGTCAAAATTTATCAAGTTGTTTGTACATTTAAAATGGGACCATAGTAGACATGTAAATTATACATCAAAAAAATAATTTTTAAAAAAATCCTTGAAGTGTTCCACAAGCACCATGGCAGAAAGAAGGCCTGTAGTGATAGACATGGTGTGGAAGAAATATGGAAGTCAGAAAGGACAGGGCACCTACAGGAAACAAGTTTATAAAATCACTCCCAGCATTGCCAAGACCTCTCATGCTCTTAGAGGTTGGCAATGCCATCTCTGATTCACTGTTAGAAACAGAAATGTTGGCAGGTACTGGCTGGTGCATGCCAATAATGTGGAGAGAGAAGTGTGGAACCTGGGACAGATCATCTTACTTGGTTCTGAGTTCCATAAAAACAAAACAAAACAAAACAAAACAAAAAAATCAAAAACCCTTCAGGCCACCCTTCTCCTGCCCCACACTCCCTGCCTTATTTCCTTAGGAATCCAGGCTCCCAGCAGAAACTAGGAGGCCTCTGTCTCTGGAACCCCTTTACGCACTCCTCCTTGCAAGCTGAAGACAATACTGGATGGAATAAATCCTGCCAGTCATAAGCTTTCAGACAGTCTTATAAGTACTGCACTGTTCTTTTAAAAAGCTGAAAAGTTGGGTTGAGAAGTTTGGGGCTATTAATAGTGCCAAACACTATAAAAAGGAAATGCCACTGATAATCTTAGATGGCTGTATTTTTATACAGAATAATTCAAGCTTCCTTCTTAGAGTTCCCAGTCATAAGAAATCCTCAAAAATACTACTTCAGGTCATACCCTCGAACCCAACTTAACATTGCTAGGATCCTTTGGGACTATTAAATCAGGACTGACTGGGAGAACTCAGATTGCATTTTGTTCACGGCTGTTCTCCCAGGGAAAAATAATCAATGTACAAACCAATGCACAGAGATTTGTTTACACTGACTATATGGAGTTAGCACAGCAAAAGTGTTAGTGTGGAGGCTCTTGTCAGACTTACCTGAGCTCTCACCATGTATTGCTCAACCCCTCTGAGCTTCATTTACAAATGGGTTGTTGTGAACCCTACGAGCTGAAGCCTGGTGTCTGCCACTTAATAAATTTTTAGAAAATATTAATTCATCATTGTTGTTATTATTATGTGTTCAATCATGTCTTCCATCACGGCAACAAAAATGCAGTTTTGTGTTTGAGAATCTTACACTCTCTTTGCTACAGAAAACATACAAGGAGGAGATTAAGAGAAATGATACCCCGTGTTGAAGAAGCTGCTAAAAATACGCACTTTCATTTTTCAGCTAGACCCCTACTTTGAGCTTTGTTTGAGGAGTGACTTGTCAAAAACCGTTTTTAAGATAATTTTTTTCTAGTGCTGGGGATTGAACTCATGGCCTCACACACAGTAAGCATGTGCTCTATCTTTGAGCTAGATCCTTAAGCCTGCAAAGCTTCTTAAATATTTTTGCCTTGTGACCCAGATACCCTCTAGACATTTTCTTAAGAGAATAATTAAGCTTGTTATCAAATTGTTAGCTTGGATATTGTTATTTGGAGTAGTATAAGTGTGGTAATGGTCTAAATGTGTAACAATCTAATTATATATTTAGATATAACAACTGATGAACATTTATACAAAGCTGGTCAAAAAACAATACATACCATATGAGTTCATTTTGAGGGTATGACTTGAGGCATTGTTTTTATGAAGGATTGATTATAACCAGAAACTCTAAGGAAGCAAGCTTGAATTGTTCCCATGTGAAAATACAGATGTAGAGATATTTATACACACACATATAGAAAAAGGTCTATAGACTTTGGCTTATCAGAGGTTTTATATGTGGCTGGATCTTTGGGATCTTTCAGGGGGAATATTTCTATTTCTATAAAGAACTATTGCTTTTACACAACAAAAAACCCCAAATTAGGAAAAATAGTTTAATCAACCTAAAAAACAAACAAAACAAATACAGTACAATGGTAAGTGAGCAAAAACTTGATTTTTACTTGGCAGAGCTCTGGGACCTTTAAATTCCTACAAATACACTGATTCACTATATGACACTGGCAAAGTTCTTCCCATTCAAATCTCTTGGTTTTCCATCGTAAAAGGCATGAGCTAAGTTAGGGGTAGGAAATGACTTTTACCTTGAGTACAACTCCATGTCATTTTAGGGACTCCCTGAACCATGTCTGTGATAAGGGATGTTTGATGGAATGCAGGAGCTCGGTGACTGACTGGTAATGTCTGTCATGGACCTAAGAATGAGAAATGACACAGGCAAGCCATGAAGTTCCTCTGTGTAGACTAGACAACTGAAAGATCCCATACAGCTTTGTAAGTCTGGGTCATCTTTCAGCAAAAGTATTTAATCCTAATTTGCAAAGTGATAGGAATTGAGGTACCTAGCTACAGTAGTACCTCAGTTCATGTTCTTAATTTGTTCTACGATTTTGGAAAAGATGGACACGTTTGTGTTTCTGTGAGAAAGATGGCCCCAGTCATGTTTGTCACCCAATGCAGAGTTTGCAAACAAAGACAAAATTTTGCCAAACACTTCTGTTTGAGGACAAAATTGTTTGCAAACAAAAGCATTCATGAACTGAGGTACCACTAACATTTTTTGGTTAGGTCACCACTAACATATGTTACCACTAACATAATTTTGGTTAGGTTAAACTGGATCACTAATTTTCCCACTTATATTGTAGAACCCAAGACACAACTTGAGATTTACTACCAAAAAAGGCCCATGACATTGTGTTTTATTTGTATTTGCACGCGTCACCTCCTATCACATGAGCAAGAAATAAATCTGCAGCTGTTGTTTCAACTTCTTCAACCTGAAATAGTTTGAAAGCCACAGCTGTTAGAGGCATAAACCTGATCTTGGCTTTGTGCTTGGTCCATGTATCATGTTTCATAGAATTTTCTAAACGCCACACTTATGGGTGTTCATTCAAAAAAAGATTACTTCTAATTATTAATTTCCCAGACAGCAGAAGGGCTAAGTGCATGTTTCCTAGCATGAAATGGAGCCCACTCCTGTCTTGACTCAATCTCAATGAAACTAAGGCCCACAGAGGGCTGATGTCATTCCTGAAATCATATGTAAAGCTTAAGCAACACCCAGCTCTGCCCACGAACACACAAACATGAATTCTTTGGCAAAACTCAACATGTGGCACTCAGGGACTTGTCTCTTTGGAGGAACAGACAGTCTGGAGGGCTTTACTCCATTTCATGTTAACCACACTAATCTACCATACCTTCCGTAGAGAGCAGCAGGCTGTATTCAGGGATCTGAGTAACAACTGTGCCTTCCAAACCAAGATACTGTTCAGAAAGATGATCCAAATGTGGGCACTGTTTCAGCAGGATTTGGTGGGACTTTCCCCTTCAAAATGGCCCTTTGTGCTTTTAAAAGAAGGGGCATTGACCTCACACATGAATAAAGACTGATGAGGGTTGAAGTTATCAATTTACATTTGGCTGGTGACCAGAAATAAATCATCAAAATGTCTTGGCATTGGATGGACATTGTTTAGCTTGCCCAGACTTGTTCCTGATAGAGTGGGTGGATACTAGGGGTTTTCTCTATCCAGGTTTAGGCTGGACTATTACAAAGGCTAACTCTAGGATTCCTCTCAGAGAAGCAGATTCAGTGTCCTGAATTGGTAGCCTCTATCATCACTTTTGTTTATATTCAGCATCTTAACTTCAGGGTCTACTCCAACTTTCATCGATTTGTTGCAAAGTATGGTACTTTCCAAGACGGAGGCATCAAGAATACTACACCTGTGTCCTAGTTGTCTCTACCAAGCTCCTTAGAGTCATGTGCTTGGCCCTGTTTCCCACTCAGTAAGATGCTTGGTAAGTGAGATGGGTTCTGGATTTATCAGTGCTCTGTTTTATATTCTCAGAGCAAGGGGAGTCAGAAGTTGACCTGATATACCACTGCCCATCTCTGGCTAGTATCACTGAAAGTGCTCAACACTCTTCAGATAGAGCTAGGTGGGATTTTCTCCCTTCCCCTTTCTAGTGCTTCTGGTGAAGAGCTGAGCTTTTGAGATACCAAATGGTTCAGAAGTCTTAGTTCATGACAAAAACTTGTGGTGGAGTGTCAGGCCAGCCTGACTTCTTACAACAAGAGAGTGTGTGGGAGCAGCTAAGTGAAGCCCTGTGATGTCATAAGAAGTTATGATCTCAGATTCCAGGCTTATAAAATACCTAATAAAGGATCCATGGAAATGAACCTAAATGTGCCCTTAAGGCCCGGCAGTCCCTTGACTCCACTGGGTGATGAGACTGTAATACGGTGGGCAATCTCCCCATGAAATAGAGAGGCTTGGAGCTGCATCTGCCATCATGAGTCCCTGATCCTGTTTGCAGCCTTTGAACCACTTTGTGGCTTAGGCAATAGAAAATCTAAGCAAGAGCAAGGTCATTAAAGTAAGATATTGCCCCACACTCTACATCTCTTTGATAAGCTTAGCTCAGAGTAAACAAGAGGCTCTTTAGCAAGTTTAACTCCTGAGAATCTGTTAAAAGATCATACTCATGAGCTCTGGTTCTGGATTGACTAAAGGGAATTTATTCTAAAGAATATTTGTTTTGGCTACAAAGACACTGTCATCTTAGTGTTGGTAATTACAATAAATATCAGAAACAATGTATAATACAATACAGGTTGAGTAACTCCTATTAAAAATTCTTGGGACCAATTTGACCCAGATATTCCTCTGCTGGGTGTCTTCCCAAAAGAATTAAAAGAATTATACCACAGTGATATATGCACATCCATGTTTATAGTGGCACAGTTTGTAATAGCTAAAACTTGGAAATAGCCCAATTGCCCATCAACTGGAGAGTGGATGAAGAAGATGTGGTGTTTTTTTTTTTAAATAAAGTGTAGTACTACTCACCCATAAAGAATGAGAAAGAAGAGACACTTATAGCTAAATGGATGCACATTGAAGCCATACTCTTAAATGAAATAAATAGGACACACATGTGTAAATACCAAATGGTTTCTCTGGTGTGAGAAACTGAAAGTGTAAATAAGGATCAAAATAATAGATAATGTGAAATAGAAAGAAAAATTCTAAAGGAGAAGGGGAACCGGAAGGGTAGGGGAAAGGAAAGAAGGGAAAGGAAAAATATGAGAAAAGGAAAAATGGAAACAAAGTCTTTGTAAATAGGGAGGGATGAAGGGGTTGCAGGGAGGGCAGAGGAATGGGGAAAAAAATAAGAACCAAGATATATCATGTAAAGGTACAAATTCCCAAAGATGAATGTCATCGTATTGTATACCTAAAATGTACCAATAAACTTAATGTTAAAAAAATTGCTTGGGACCAGAAATATTTCATGTTTCAGGTAGGAGGATTTTTACAGATTTTGGAATATTTCCATACATGAGATACCTTGGGCTTGTGACCTATGTCTAAATACAAAATTCATTCATGTTTCAGATACAAATTATATACACAGCCTGGAGTAATTTTATATGATAGTTTTGGCGTACCTACATTTTGACTGTCACCTGCCACATAAGATCAGACATGAAAATTCTCACTTGTGTTCTCATGTTAGTGCTCAAAAAATTCCAAATTTTAAAGCATTCTGGACTTCAGATTTTTGGATTAGGGATGCCTGGTCTGTAACAAGTGACTGTTGAGAGATATTATACAAGTAAATAGAACATTAAAAGTTGTATCTTACAGTAGAAATTCCTAGTGGACATACAATCTATTACCTAGAAAGTGTTCTGTTCAAAACTTTAGATCTAATCACCCAATTTATAGCAAAATTAGGAGATAGAGGGCCATATTAAATGCTACCAAGGGGATGCAAATCCTGTTTCTTCTTCAACAATAAAAATTCAAAGGAAAAAAAAAAGACAGCATACACAGAAAAGACATAATAGATAAGAAAAAAAGGGCAGTGTGTAGACCTTGTTTGAATACCAATTCAAACAACTGTGAAACATTGACATTGGATATTTGATAATATTAATGAATAATTACAAGTTAAACTTTATAAGAGTACTGATCTTTTAGAGATACACGTTTAAAAAAAAAAATCCACAGGGAAGTCCAAGATAGCTAAACAGAGGTGCCAAGCACTCATCTCTTTCTCCACAAAGAACCAAGATAACAAATATATATTTGCATTTTGAGGCGAGTGACATGGGAGAACACTGAAAATCAGAGGGATTGGAATCTCATAAGATTCAAAGACCAGGGATAAAAGCACAGTAAGAGCAGCAAAATACCCCAGCATCTGACACTCTATCTCCACACATGGAGATGGGGGAGTCTCTCCTTTGCAGAGGTAAGGATGAAAAAGAAAGTCCCAGCAAACTCTATCAGAGCAAATACTGGAAATCCTAGCTACTGGAAAGTTTCATGATCCCTACAAGCTTATAACCTACTTAAATAAGTAACCTGAAATCTACATAACAGATTTTGTAAAAGGATCTTACATCTCCTAGCAAACACCCAGGGTGTTACAGCCAAGAATAATCTTGAGAAGTGAACTACTCTCTGAATTTTGGCTCCTCTTGGAGTAAGAAACCCTTGTATACTCCCAGCTCCACAGAAATTCCACTGCATTGGTTTGCAGGATAAACTACTTTGTGAGCCCAACTTGACCCAACAGAGTGACTGTGACTAAGCCCATGGGTTGCTCTGCAATGAAAGGGGATGAGTATTGAGGCATAAAGGGAACATAGGACATTCTCCTTGAGAATCAGAAGATCAAGGGACTCCAGCACAGTATGCACTGTACACAGAATCATTAGTCACAGCCAAAAAAACTATGGGGAGACTGCAGTATGATGCTCAGCTAGAAATTAAAGCCAGCATACAAACCAACACTTCAAGACAAATCTTTAGAAGAAAGTCACTTACTAAGAAGTCCATCCATAAAAGTGGTAAAGATATCTGATCTACAAAATGTGCATATCTCAAAACAGGAATACAAGAAATTTTTTTAAAATTAAAACTCTTTGGTGACACATCCCAGAGAAACTGATATGAATAAAATTCCTGATAAAGAATTTAAAAGAATGACAATTTTAAAAGTTAAAAGAGATTCAAGAGAGTACATATGAAAAGTTAAATTAAGATTATAATTTAGAATATGAATGAAATTCAGCAAAGAGACAAAGATTTTTTAAAAAGAGAATCCAATAGAAATATTGGCAATTAAGAGCTCAATAGTTAAAAAAATATACAGTTGAATGCCTCAACAG